AGTGCTGGGATTACAGGCTTGAGCCACTGCGCCCGGCCAATTTTTTTCTTTTTTTGAGACGGAGTCTTATTCTGTCACCCAGGCTGGAGTGCAGTGGCGCAAACTCGGCTCAAAGCAAACTCCGCATGCGGGTTCAAGCAATTCTCCTGCCTCAGCCTCCCGAATAGCTGGAATTACAGGTGACCGCCACCATGCCTGGCTAATTTTTGTATTTTTAGTAGAGACGGGGTTTCACCATATTGGCCAGGCTGGTCTCGAACTCCTGACCTTGTGATCCGCCCACCTCGGCCTCCCAAAGTGCTGAGATTACAGACGTGAGCCAGGCCAGGAAAGATAATTTCTAAGTATGAAATGTTGTAGGTCCTGGGAGGACCTCAGTAGGTTGGGAGAAGTGCACAGTGGTGAGTTAAAGGATGGCAATGAGGTCACAGAACTATGAAGTCAAGGTTAACAATAACGCATACGGGAAAAACTGACAAGTGGCGCAACAAGGGGTAGCAGGTCTCCAGGACGTGGCATTAGGACGTGCTTGTTGAGGGGCAGGTATTTGGAACCAGGCCCCACTTTCGAGTTGTCTTTCCGCAGGAACCAGAGAGTGCGGTCGGGAACAGGAAGCAGGAACTGTTAGGGAGATAAGGAAGGTGCTACTGCCCACATCCATCCTCTACGGCCACAAGGTCAGGGGGGCCAGGCTGCCTCCTCACAGCATCAGCGTTTTCTTCGGCTTCACTTCCCTCTGGAAAGCGCTTTCTCACCGACGCTGCAGAGACCTTAGGGGCAGCCCCTGCCCTCCTACCCTCCAAGGAGCCACCACTCTAGAGCCCACGCTCCTCTGGATATCATGTGACTTGGGGGACTACTTGCCTTTTTTTTTGAAACACGGCTACAGACTATGAGTTAAAAACACTGGGCTTAGCGCCCCCTCAATAACGACGCAGCTATAGGACGGTACCCTCTCCCAGCCTGCCCGCCGCAGGGAGAGTTCCACTTCCTTCCCAGAAAACGAGGCCGGAAGGGGCGGGCTTTCCGCCTGGACCAGGCGCTTCCGCCAGGACCAGGCGCTTCCGCCACCATGGCTGCACGTGGGGTTGTTGGTATTTTTTTCCTCTCTGCTGTCCCCCTTGTGTGTCTGGAGCTCCGGCGTGGGATCCCGGATATAGGTAAGTGTTGACTTTTTCCCTTCGACAGTTACAGCTGGGTAATTTTCACAGGAATGTTGCATAGAATGACCGCTTCTTCGGCTGCGTCGCTTCGGAGCGGCTTTGACTACAACTCCCAGACTGCATCGTGCCTGCCTCCCACTTCCGGAGCCGACTTCTCTTCGGGGAATTTTTCCCTCCAGGTGTGATGGTTTTGCGTGTAAGAGCGTAGCGGCAAAGAGCACAGGGGCAATCATAGACAGTGCTTTCGTATCCTGGTGAACATTCAAAAGGAAATCAACAGGTTGATAAGATGAAGGCCTTCTGAGAATTTAGGCTGAGAGGTTTTTTGTTTTGTTTTGTTTTGTTTTTAAATTAGAGACAGGGTCTCACTATGTTGCCCAGGCTGGTCTCGAACTCCTGGGTTCAAGAGATCCTCCTGCCTCGGCCTGTCAAAGTGCTGGGATTACAGGCCTGCGCCACTGCGCCTGGCCCTGAGATTTAAATAAGGGGCCACACCCGTGAAAAGCCAGTGGGGGCAGGGAAGGGGTTGGGGAGAGGAGGAGTAATCTAGGCAAAAAGATTGTGACATGTTGGAGGAAAAGGTGAAGGCCATTGTGGCTGAATCAAGGAGAGCTGGGAAGAGGAGGAGGAATTGGCTCAGGATAATGACTTTTGTTGAACACCTATTATAAGCCAAATACCAGGTGCTAGTTATTATCTCATTTAATCTGCACTGCAGTCAGAGGAGGGTAGCACTATTATAATCCCCATTTTACAGCTGAGGGAACTGAAATTTAGGGAGATTAAGTGACTTCCCTAAGGCTTTAAAAAGGTCACTCGATTCTGTATGGAGAGTGCTTTGGACGGAAGCTATGGTGGAAGCAGTGAGGCACGTCAGGCTTTGGAAGTTGACAAGTGGTG